AAATAAAAGCATTTTCAACCCTTCCCACACACTTGCAATATTGCAAACTCTGAAAGAGCACAGAATGTCATGATTTCAGCTCCCTGCTTCCTCTGCTCGTTGCCATTGCAAACCTCTTGGCCACGCCCACTTCTCCGCTTTGCACAGCTGATCAGCTGCAACAGGAAGTTTATCCTGCAGTATGGTCTGCACAACTGTGCAGAAGGTGCTAAATAATTTTAAATAGTTTATTTTAAATAAAAATTCCATGCCGATCGTGTGGCTCATCCATCAGTCAGTCAATTGCGTGTCATGTCCAATCTTATTTTGAAAAACCGCGATAGAGTGAGTCCACAATAAACGAACCATGAAGTAGCGATGGACTACTGTACTGTACTTTGGATTTTTTGAAACAGAGTTCAATGGAAAAGTAATGAACAGTGAATATCTTACCTGTAGGTCGCTCTTTAACAACCTTTTTGTAAAAAATTAGAATTTAATTCTACTTGATTAGCAAACAGCCAAGACCAAACGATTCTTGTTATATTGAAACAATCTAAAACATTTCACTGAGGTTTATGCTAAGAATATTTTATAAACATTTACAGTTTTACTTTTCAGTTTTTTTCTTTTATGGAGAATGACCATAACACTGCAGGGCAGCTAACAACATGTAGCTAATGACAACTTTAGATGGATCCAAACTCTTTAAAGCCACATCATATCTGTATAATAGAGTATTTACTAGAGATGCACTGATACCAGTATGGAACTGATACTATGACCGTGTACTTAAGTGTTTACCAGCAGTACTGATGCCTTTTTACAGCAAGGTGACGTTCACCTCTAAGATTTTCAGTCAGGTGGTAGAAGAGGAGCTATGTTCAATGTGTGAAGTTAGTTAGAAAAAATTGGAGCTGGCTTTCCTAATCCACATTTCTTACTAATTGGTGGCAATAATGCACCTTAAAGTTGTTTACTAACCCATAAAAACATCAGAAGATGAAGAAACCATGTGGATGTATCTCACCACTCAGTCCTTGGCAAGGGGACAAAGGCCTCCATCTTCATCATAGTCATTAAATTGAAATAGTTATTATTAAAAATAGAGCAGTGTAGTGTGTCGTGTACTGAGTCGAACACATTGGGCCAGCCACCACCATTAATCTACATCTTTCTGAGGAAAAAGGACCAAATGGAGAGAGTGGATGTGGCTAAAACTGACTGTGATTATCAGTCGTCCTCTGTGGGTCATTGATGAGCCTGAAAAGCTGCCTAATGAGTAGCAGCTGCCAACATGGTCCCTGAGGATAAAGCAAAGCTAATGCTAGGCTAAAGCTTCAAAACAGAGACTGTTTCTGTCATTTCTACTGCGGTTGCAACGTGTATGCCTTTTAAAAGGGCGAGCGACAAAAACTTTATCCATTATACGTTTTCTTAATTGTTTAAATATTTAGTTTTTAGCAATGTTATTTGGTAAGAATAGTGCCTCTGTTGGGCTAAAATGACTGATGGCTGTCAAATATGATGAATGTTGCTTTTTCTAGGAAGGTGATGTTGAAAGAAATTATTTTAGTTTTCATAACTTATTGAAAAAAACTGTTCAAAATCTGAATTTTCAACATACAAATTATTTGTTGGGACAGATTATATTTGCTTTTGGAGGTTCTACTAATTGTAAGAGATGTAATGGTGATTATTAATGCTCATATCGGTATTTGGTATTGTCAGGTACTCAAATGGAAGTACTTGTTTCAAAAAATGTGTCATCGATACATCCCTACTACGTACTGTATATTTCTTTATTTGTTTACTTGTAGTTCAGTTGTAGTTCAGTAGCTCGTCAATCCGGTCACATTTAAACAATTTTTTCCAAACTAATGTGGTTCAAAGAGCTATCTGGAACAGGTAAGATAGTTATTCTTCATTAGCTTTTCACAGAACAAACAGGAATATAACGTAAAGGAATATTTCTGCTAAGACTTTGTTTGGTAACAAATGTGTTCTATTTATTTAAATTAAATTAAATTCAACTCTAGTTTAATTTATAATGTTTGCATCCATTGCATACATTTTGTTTCTTTTTCCCAGGATGCCAACAATGCACCTCAGATGGTCGGTTTGGCCTCAAGTGGCGTTGCAATATTTTACAGTATGGTTTGCTCCAATTTCTACCCCTGGTGAGTACCGGTGCTGCTCATTGCTCAGCTTCTCCGCATGTCTTATCAGCTTTTAACCGGCTGCAATGCTCCCACGCAGGGGGAACATCATCAAGATTTCATTTAAGAGGCGACGCTTTCTTTTACACCTAAAGCGTAAACATGTGAGTCTCATTTCTTCTTTAATTGTTCTTAACGATTCGGCTCCTACTTTTATTTGTGCTGCACGGTTGGCCGAAAAATGAATTTCCCCAATTTCTGCACATTTGTGTTTTAATTTCTCCTCATCGTGCAGCAGCAATTTCAAGTTTTATATCACGTTTTCTTCTCAGTGATTCAAAGTAATCACAACTTAAGTAAATTCAGGAAAAAAGGCAGTGCGACCTTAAATGTTGTATTAAACGAAATGATAAAGATTCTTAACACTGTATTTTTGCAGGGGGAGACACAAGACTGTGAAGTTGCTTTCATCCTTCCTTGCCCCAGGACTTGTAAGAACCTGTGGCAGTCCTGTGTGGATCACCACTCCTTCTTCTCCTCCAGCCGGTCTGCCAGGAGCCCCAAAATCAACAACAGCACAGTTCAGTCCTACACCAAACTGATAACACAGCACTTGGGCCTCGGAAACAGTAAAACTGAGACGTGAGCTTCCAGTTATTTTATTGGTTTGTTGTTTAGTTAAAGGCAAGTGGTTTTCAACGTTTTCCCTCTTTTACTCGCAGCGGCCCGGTCTGCCAGCGTGTCTTAGGAGGGATGGAATGGAACCCCGTCCGGCGCAGGTCGCTTTCTTCGGAGCATCTCGAAACCAAGAGTCTTCCATCCAGATCACCTCCATCCACCCCCAACTGGTACAGCTGTCAACATCAAACCATGTTTAAAATCATAAAACAAACTAAAGTCTACCCAGCTCAGGATGGCTGCCACAGCAAATTGGCCTTATCTAATAAAAAATGTCCTTCCCAATCAAAAGAGGATCTTACTCTAAAACTCTGGCATGAGCGGCGGCGGGCGATATGCATCAAGGAGGGCTAGCTCTTTAATTAGTGCCTGTGTTTTGTCACAGGCGAAGTCCCCGAGTTCGCCACAGGATCTGTAAACCTCGACCGTCGTCCGTGGAGCTCACCGTGGACCTGAAGGACATGTCAGAGGGGGAGGACGTCTTCTACACATACAGAGCGTCCGTGGGAAGCAACAAGGACAGTGAAGGAGATGCAGCACCTCATCAGTTAGTATCACAGAAACGCTTCAGTTTATTGGAGTTAAAGTTTAACGCAGCCTTCTGGCAATCAATCATTTAGCACAGGTGTCAAGACATTCATCTTAGGCACAAGAAAATGTAGAAATGATCTCGCGCACAAAATTATTTAAAAACTCAAGTCTTTTTTTCTGCATTTCTGGCTGTAGCTGTGAAGGAACTGGTGAGTCTTTGATAAAAGCTGATGACAGTATAGAAGAGGACAGCCCACCCCACTATGATAAGGTATTTTATCTCACCTAGTAAACTCTAGATGTGTTTATTACTGCCTGTTCCTTTGAGCATTCAGTTTAATAACAAGATCTCTGTGCAGGGAGCTCTCGGCGATGGCGATTTGATGCTAATATGCATCACGCCAGACGAGGATGGAAAGTTTGGCTTTAATGTAAAAGTGAGTTTTATCTCGTCCACACCACACATGCAGACTTTAATGATTGATTATTTACCTCATTGGTTAAATTGTTGAACTCCTCCCAGGGTGGAGTGGATCAGAAGATGCCTTTGTCCATATCTCACATTAAACCAGACTCCCCGGTAAGAAAAGACTTCAGCTGTGTTCCAAGTGTTCATGATTTTTAAAGTTTTTGTTCAACTGAGATGATTTTTTGTTTGTTTTTGTGTTTTGTTTTGTTGAAAAATGAAGCTTGCATTATTTGGAAGAATGCTGTCAAGCCTGACTTGAGTTATAGCTGTTTGTGTTGGCTAAGGCTCAAAGTATGTTGGTGATGATTCCTAGCTACGACCACACCAAATGTTAGCTTTACATCTATATAATCAGTGGTGACAAACAGTATAAATGCACTTGTTCTTTTAAGATCAACATTTGTAACAGTTAAGATGAATATTTCAGGTTTTAATAATGATAATAATACATTTTATTTGAAGACGCCTTTCAAAACACTCAAGGTCACCAAACAAGAAATACAAAGATAAAAAAACAATAAAACATTAAAATACAGATATCAATAAAATCAAATGCTAATAATGATAAAATACATATTGACATTAAACAGAGTAAGTAAGTTTGAAAAAGTGAGTTTCAAGGTTAGATTTAAATGAGGGCAGAGAATCAGAATTACGAATGTGCTGTGGAAGAGAGTTCCAGAGACGAGGAGCATTGCGGGAGAAGGCTCTGGATCCCATGGTTGTCAATTGGGCAGGAGGTATTACAAGAGAGATGGATAGAGAGGAGCGAAGACTTCGGGCAGGTGTGTAACAGCAAATAAGATCAGTGAGGTACAGAGGTGCCAAGTTATGGAGAGCTTTGAAAGTGAGGAAGAGAATCTTGAAGTCGATGTCATATTTTATGAGTAACCAGTGAAGATGTTTAAGGATAGGGGTGATGTGTTCCTTCGACGTAGTTCTATTGATGATCCGGACAGCTGTGTTTTGAACAAGCTGAAGTTTATGGATGATTTTGAGAGGAAGATCTGAGAGGAGGGAGTTACAGTAGTCTAATCGAGAGGTGACTAGATTGACAAGGATGTCTGTACTGGTGGGGGTAAGAAATGGATGGAGACGGTTGATGTTTAGAAGATGAAAATATGCAGACCGAGTAATGTTACTGACGTGAGATTCAAAAGATAATGTACTATCAAGGATGACACCCAGACTCTTAGCTGTAGGGGAGGGAGAACTGTGGAATCATCAACTTTAATTGTGAAACTATTACATTTGGATAAGGTAGACTTGGTGCCAACAAGGAGGAATTCTGTTTTATTTGAGTTCAGTTTAAGAAAGTTCTGACTGAAGCATAATTTGATTTCACAGAGTCAGTCTGAAAGGAAGGATGGTGGAAGGGTGGTGTTGGGCTTGGTGGAGAAGTAAAGCTGGGTGTCATCTGCATAACAGTGAAAAGTAATACCAATTTTTTTAAAGATAAGGCCAAGTGGAAGAAGATAAATGATCAACAGGAGAGGACCAAGGACAGAACCCTGCAGTGCACCTGAAGTAACTGTAGAGGACTGTGAGTTGAAGTTCTTAAGTTGGACAAAGTGCTGACGGTCAGAGAGATGAGATTGAAACCAATTTATAGCAATGCCAGAAAAACCAATGGAACGTAATCTATCTAGAAGAATATTGTGCGAAATGGTATCAAATGCTGCACTCAGGTCAAGGAGAATGAGAAATGATAAAAGTCCAGAGTCGGCAGCAACCAGGAGATCATTGGTGATTTTAATCAAAGCTGTCTCGGTGCTGTGGAGGGGGTTCTTCAAACAGATTATTATCTAAAAGATTACTGTGAACCTGGGCTGCAACTGTTTTCTCAAGTATTTTGAAAATGAAGGGTAGGTTAGAAAGTGGTCTAAAGTTATTCATGTCTTTAGGATCAGCACCTGTTTTTTTAAGAATTGGAGTCATTGCAGCAGTTTTGAGTGATGGTGGGACAAAACCAGAAGAGAGAGATAAATGAATAATCTTAGTTATTAGAGTAGATAGAGAAGGTAGACAGGCTTTAACTACGTGTGTAGGAAGTGGATCAAGCTGACAGGTAGAAGACTTGGATTTAGAGATGAGACTGCAAACTTCTGACAGAGAAGGGAGTTGAAAACTTGAGATAGGTACCGTAGTGGGGTTATAAGAAAGAAAACCAGAGGAAGTGGATTGCAACATGGACAATTCCTGATGGATGGGTTCAACTTTAGCATTAAAAAAGTCCATAAATTTGTTGCAATAAATGTTTTAGACGACTCTATGCTGTTTGTAGGCTGGTCGATCCGAGCCAAGGCTCCAAAAAGGAGACCTGCTGGTGCTCATCAATGGTCGAGACATTTCTGAACACACGCACGACCAGGTCGTCATGTTCATACGAGCCAGCAGAGAGTCGCACTCCAGACAGCTGGCCCTGCTTATCAGGCGTAAAGGTGAGTGGGAGAAAAGTGCAGCATTGACAAGAAATGCAAATATGTGCCTTTTTTTTAAATGAATATTTATTTCAGCCTTGAACTGTCCTTACAATGCAGGTTCGAGCCGGTTGGTACCCTCGCTGCAGCTACCTCCTACCCTCACACTGACCATCCAATCACAGGAAAACAAGCCACAGTCGCCCGGTCAGTCGGAGCAGGTCGCCACGTTGGAGGAATCAATGAAACAGCTGGAGAGAGGGATACAGTCCGGCACACTCTGCTACCATTTTGAGGTATTTCAAGCACAAATCAAAGCCAACTACTCGATGTGTGCGTATACGTATAGGCAAAGCGTGTGTTTACCGTTTATAAACAAGACTTAGTTTTAGTTATGTGGAGAATCATATTGAGCATTTTACATGCACGGATGTTGGCTCTGATCTTAAGTTGGACACTGTTCAGAAAACAAAAATGCTGTGACTGGCCTGGAGTTTTCATTTTCTGTTTGTATGTGTCTTTCTGTGTGTGTGTGTGTGTGTGTGTGTGTGTGTGTGTGTGTGTGTGTGT